GCCGATTTCTTCCGATCCGATTCATTTCGATTGCCGATCCGACTTGTCGATTCGAATCTGGTTGATCCTGTCCATTTTTTCGAGCCGCGCGTGCTCGCCTTCTTTCGGGCCTGGGGGTGATGAGATGCCAACCTGCTGCAGCCTGGGTCACCAGAAGGATCCCGTGCACCAGGAGGGTACGAAGCTGGAGGATTTTTTCACGTGTCGGGCCAAAGGAGGGATACTCGTTTGACATTGTTCCGATGCTCGTCTGGGTGCTTGGAATTTGTTTCTGGGATGTGGTCCTTAAGTGCGATGGGAGTAACACAACCCTGGGCCCCTGGGGTCCTCACAGATCGATCCGGTTCGAAAAATGACGCAGAAAGGTGGGGTCTAGGCCTCCAGGCGTGACCTTGCATGATGTTCCGATTGTTTCGTTACGCCAGATCTCAGGGTCAGACCTAGACCCCCTCGAGGCATTATCAAATCACGACGGGAGGTTTTTGGTTGTTTTCGGCCTCTGAGGGGCTTTCCCCGTGCCTCGGGACCGTCCATAAAAATCATTCAGTGGGTCGAGACCTTGAGGGGTCGTCCTATACAATGGGTTCACGCAGCGTTGGCGCGCCGCCGTCGCCGGTGAAGGCGTTCAATGTTGAATATTGCGAAGCGGAAGCACCGACGGGCACTGTAACCGGGAGCCTTGAGACGGGGGTCAATGCAAACGGGGGTCAGCCAGGGCACCGGATCCTGCAGGATCCTGCGAAGACCCCCTCTGGCTGACCTTGGTTAGCGAGCCGCTCGTGGCCGCGAGGCGGCCGCGCATATTGGCTGACCCGGGTTTGCGAAGACCTGCGTTGCAGTTTTCTTTCCCTGCATTGCAGTTTTTTGGTTTCCTGCTGACCCGGGTCTGGATCGACCCGGGTCAGAAGATCCCCGATGTATCGCCACAGGCCCCGAGGGAAGTCAAGCTTGAGCGATCGGGGCCACGACTGGTTCAAGCTTGAACCATCGACGCGGCGTCAAAAAAACCTTTGCGCGCGCCGGCGCCGCACGAAGCCACCATACCCTCAGAGCCTGGCGCTGCCCTTTTGTCTCACACTGGGCGTGTTCGCCCGGTGCCGAGCCCCAGGGACCTCACGGATCGCCCGGGCTCGGACAGTGGCGCAGGGAGATGCGGCCGAGGGCTCTGGTCGTGGGTTTTCGCCATGCCGCATTTTTTTGCAGCGTGAGATCGGACGGGCCTGACCTGCGTATAGGCCCACCGCAGATGGTTCTAAGAACCTGCTGTGGGTTGTACGCAGTGTTCTCAGGGCACTTCTGGCTTAGGCCGTCTTGGTTTCATGCATCGGCTACATGTTGAGAGATCATTGGTTTTTGCCATCGGAACACTACTGTGTTCGAAGAACATCTCGTGGTAGGCCTATAGGAATGCCGGGACGGCCGGTCCCTGCTCAAGGAGCCCTGGCTATCGCCCGTGGCCGTCGCCCGCGTCCCGCGCGGGCTTCGGCGGCAGCGCGACGAAGAGGGCGAGGATCAGAGAAGAACCAAAATACCCATACCGCTACCCTTGCATCTTTTTCACCATTCGGGACCCTGAGGCCCTTGCCTCCACGGCTGGATTCGCCTCGAAATTCTGATCTGAAAGGACCCCGGGAGGGGTCCGGGGAGTAGCGGTATCGGTCCCTTTCGGTTTCCCCAGACAGAGGAGCTCGCGGCGAGCGCATGCGCTGCGTCGGGTGCCGGCACTGCCACTGGAATGGTCGTCGGAGAGGGGCTCGATGTATGCACCACGTCGTTTCATCGGCCACGGAGCCGCCCACATTGGCGAAGGACTCCGGTGTATAGGCGCTCCAGCCTCGAGAAGATACACCGAGCTCCTTGGCCGACCAGACGACGTGGTCTACCCAGACATGCGAAGTCCTATTTTTTCAATGCGGGGAAAGTCCCGACCCTTTCCCCGGGACTGTTTTTTCATCCTGAGTCGTCTTTTGACCGTCCCGAGGCCCGGCGAGGGCCCCCCGAGGCCGAAAACGGCCAAAAACCTCCCGCCCTGATTTGTCTACGACGCGATCCATGTCTGGGCATGCTTCGAGGCCTCCCCGGGCCCCCCCTTCCGGAGCCAAGGCGCCCCCCCGGGCCCCACGGCGGCCCCCGCAGCAGCCCCGCCTGAGGCGGCCGACCCTCGGGGCGCCTCGCCGGCGGCCTCGGCGCGGAGCCCCTCGGCGGGGCCGCGCGGCGCGGCGGCCACGGCCGCAGCCCCGGCAGAGGCGGCAGCCTGCCTGAGGGCTTCGCCGGCGGCGTCGTCAGGGGGTGCCCCGGCAGCAGCGGGCGCCGCCCCTCCGCGGCCCTCCCCGGCAGCGGCCGGCGCCGGCCTCCCGCGGAGCCTCCGGCGCAGGCTCTCCGAGGGCGTGGCGCAGGCGCGGGGCCCCCTGCGGAGCGGCTCCGGAGCACAGCGCGAGACGAGAGGCGTCCGCGGCGCGCGGTGTCACACGCTCGATGTGCCACTCGAGCGTGTGAGAGATACAGCAGGCAGTGACGAGGGGCACATCGAGAAGGGCATCGGCCCGTCCCCGGGTGCCCCACGGCGATCTGCCCTTGCCGGGCGGCCCCGAAGGCACACTGTCGCGCTCGTGTGCCACGCACGTGGGTGAGACGCTGCAGGCAGCGTTTTGGCACATGAAGCTTGACGCTCGTACGTCGTCCTGTTCAAGGGTATATGTGCGCGTCTGTTGCCCAGCACATGGGGGGGGCACGTGCGCGGCATGCGCTCGGCCTGTGCGGCGTTTCCCCCTCGCGCGCTCAGCAGTCTATCGACGTGTGCATGTATGCAGGCATGTGCGCGGCACGTGCGGGGGTGTGTCAAAAAATACCACTGGAGCTCGCGTTCGTTCTCGCCTCTTGGCTTGCCCCCCCGGCCGCGCTTGCAGGGTTCTCACCCTGCGCTCCGCTGATGGGCAGGCGTGCTGCGCCTGCGCCGGGCGCCCGCCCGCGGGCACTGCGTCGGGGCGCCGCGTGCGCCCAGAGCTTCGGCCCGCAATCGCGCAGCTTGCACCGCACAGCTTGCACCGTACAGCTTGCACCCCACAGCTGGCACGGCAGAGCTGGCACCGCCGCACAGCCTGCACCACCGTACATCTGGCACTGCATCGGCTGCACCACGTCGCCTCAAGGCGCCTTTCGAAGGAAAAATGGGCCCCACCACCTTTCCACCGGGGTTAGCGCCCCCCCTCCCCCCCCCTGGGGGGCATTGCAAATCACACGTGAGCATGCCCGCTCGTTCATTGAGCATCACAGCCAAGCCGGTATCGGCCCCGTTCATCCCTGTCAAATCATGGTATGCGCGAGCACTCGTTTATCTCAGCAGGTAGTGGCACAACGTCCACGTGCGCGCACAGGCCGAAGTCATACCAGCAACACCTCTTTTGCAAGCATTCCAACATTATCACATCACAGACCCGTGCACTTCCCATTGCAAATCTTGGATCCGTTCTGCCAGTGCGCGCTTGCTGAATACATAGGCTCGCGATGTTTGATTGTCCCGTGCTCCGAAATGGCCCCCCAGACGCCGAAATCGAGGAGCGCCCACTTTTTACATCGCAGCGCGGCAGAGGCGATCCGCTCGCGCGGTCTCGCAGCTGGGGGCAACTCGCGGCGTATGAATTCATCGGCTGCCAGAGGTGGAGGCGGTCGGAGAGAGGACGGCCGCGGGGGACAGGCGGGAGGGGAGGGCACTCGCCACGGAAAGAGTTTTGGGCCGAGCGCTCTGGCGCGGCCAGCTTGTGCGGAGGCGGCCTGGCAGTGGGCGCGGAGCGGCGTCAGCGGTTGTCCTTCCTTGAGGACTCGGAGGTCGGTAGGAGTGACGGCCAGGCTTCCGCGCCGCGCCTGTCGAATTCGAAGTTTCGGATGAGGTTTTCGGCCCATGGGATCGACCTCGCACGAGGTCTGGCCCTTCTTGACCTCTCGGCGGAGGAAGCGGGGACCCTGGGGACCCAGGCCCGTGAGCGGGCCCGCTCCCGTCCTGTGGAGGAGGACGAGCTCCTACCAGACGGGCCATGACGTCCCAGCGCCTTTTTTTGGCGCCGCCCGACGCCCCCCTCGCGTCAAGGGCTTTTCCCTCTCTTTGCATGTTGAATGGGGTGGCACCTTTCTGCCGCACAGCTAGCGGGGAGGAGGAGGAGGAGGAGGAGGAGGAGGAGGAGGAGGAGGAGGAGGAGGAGGAGGAGGAGGAGAGGAGGAGGAGGAGGAGGAGGAGGAGATGGAGGATGAGGAGGAGGAGGAGGAGGAGGAGGAGGAGGAGGAGGAGGAGGAGGAGGAGCAGGAACAGGAGCAGGAGCTCGAGGAGGAGGGGCGAGTCTGTTCCCCGCCGAGAGGTACAGCGCGGGGGGGGACCCTCAAAACGAACGACCTGCTGAGGCCAGCGGAACAACATTGTGCCCTCGGACGTCGGATATCTGCTCCCCCCGAGGCCGCCGTGGAGCTCGAGGACGCCGCGACCGCCGCGTCGGCCGCCGCGGCTGCTCCCCCGCGCGAGGCGGCCCCCGCCGCGGCGGCCGCCGTGCCGCGGGCGGCCGTCCGCGAGGGCGCCCCGCCTGGCCGGCGCCCGGCACCCTGCGCTGTCCGCACGGGCCCTCGGAGGAGGAAGGTCGACTGCACGCGAGAGTGGCCCGTCGCTGGGGTGACCTTATGGAACGGGCCCACCGGGGCCCCCCCATCGTTGAGGGCGATGCGAGAGCAGGCGCCTCCGCGCTCGGGCTCGGGCCCCTCGCGCCACGCCCCCCCTGAAGCCGTGCGCCAGAGGCCGCTCTTGCCTATGTAGGGTCACTCTTTCGCGCACACTCTTACGTGCAGCCGAGCAGGGCAGTACCGATACCGCTACGTGCCTTTCTCTGGCGTTTTCGACTCGTTGGGCCAGCATGGGGGGCCCTCGTCGCCACGACCGGCTTCTCCTCGAAGTGCTGCTCGGAACGCACCCCGGAAGAGGTCCGGGGAGTAGCTGTATAGATTTTTGTTGGTTTCCCCAG